AAAACACGTGATGACTTACAAGCTATATTAGGCTCATTTCTATTAAATAAATGCTTTTAGTGTACAAAGGGAATGCACATAAAGCCCTCATCCCCTCCCCGTAGGCTTACGAAGGAAAAATAGGGGCTCGTGGAAAAAAGTTTTATTGAAAACCATCAGCATAGACTAAGTTGCGCGCTGATTGTTTAGCGTGCAGATATGGTGAAGGGTATATTGAACATATTGACGACCATGGCAACATCTTAATATATTTACTTGTAAGTCTTTTAGCGGATATCTGCTCGCATAATTTGGTTCCACTCAACCGAAATAAAACAGGAATGGATTCAATAAAGCTAATCTTCCCGTTTAATTAAGCCATTTTAGGCATCGAAAGTGTCGACGAGGCATTCAATCAGTATCGAAACTGTCTATTACCGACCAACTAAATGGCGCCTCAGGCCCTGTTCAATTGTTCGGGCACTAATCGCTGACCTTTACCCGCGCTTCAACTTTTAGAATACAGCTGGTCTGATAGGGAAGTCGTAAGGTTTTCACTATATAAGGTAGTAATTACTGTTCAGTTTATTGAATCACTATTGTTGAAGATTGATTTAATCCCTTTAGTTGGTAAAGTGTGATATTCGCCACACCCACAGTCTAGAGCTAGCTTCAACCGAAAGACCTCCTCGCATCGGTTTGCGCACAATTCAAAAGACAACGAGATAACGTTAACAGTTAAGCCAGTTAACGAGTTCATTGCAGAAAAGTAGGAAATTAAACAGAGCAACCATGTATGGTATAAATCGGGACCGGACGAATATCGTTATAAATATAGTACAGGTTAAGTGCTGTGACATGAAAAATATTCCCGCGTCCTTTAATTTAAGATCAGACCACCGGAACACTTCCCACGGAGATTTTCACTTTTAACAAAACTTCAAACTTTTACTTGTAAGTCTTTTAGCGGATATCTGCTCGCATAATTTGGCTCCACTCAACCGAAATAAAACAGCAATGGATTCAATAAAGCTAATCTTCCCGTTAAGTAACTAGAAGATGGCTTGTCAAGGATCTTAAGTACCAAAATTAACATATGATTCTTTGAATCTACTTGCATTTTTATCGCCTCGAACACCCAATTTGAAGCTGAAGGCAAATGAAGGCTTGTCCGTTTAGTTGATAAATTAAATGGGAGTGTCCATTGAAAATCAAAAGATTCGATCCAAAACCTTTTAGTTGCTCCTCTCATACTCTCAGAAACGAAGCAGCTTATTTCGTTTTGTTTGATTGTTTACTTTTTTCTGTGCGATTCACAGACGAAAACTAAATTTAATGAATTAAGGTTGGAACAACTCCAATTCCTTCGACCGAACCAGGATGCGAGAGTTGTCACACGCCGTATTCAGCTCAAGGCTTGATCAAATCGTTACTGCTTGTTCCGCTTTTCATCACCAGTTACTCAGTCGTGTTCCTGTGTGCTTTCCAGCTTCTAGAACTTTGAACCGGAAGACATGATTTTTATAAAACCCGTTACAAGCTGGAGTACAGAAGTTACCAAAACATGCGGACTGAGAAGTAGGCACGACATATTTGTTCCCATTTTAAAGGCTCTCAATTAGCTGTGATGGACCATTTTATCTTCGTTACCGAAGTTATTTTCTGTTATTCTTTTTCCCTTTCACAGGGGTAACCAATGAAACAAACGATGAAGATTTTTTTGTTCTTTCAGAAATACGCGGTGGTTTCAGAACCGGGGGGATGGGGGAGGTGGGGCTACTTCCCAAAGTTTTTGGTGGGGATGAGCAGCCCGACTCTTGAAACCTGCACCCTGTTCTAAGCCAAAATCTGTGATTTTCCATACCCTATTTCAGACCTGCGCGAAAAATTGCTACCTCACTTCAGACCTCTAAAATTAGCCCAGGGCTTGAGGAGGGTGGTGGTGAATAGGTTTTCGGATCGACGGATCTGGCCTTAAAAAATGCACTGCTTGTGGATTTTTGTGGTAAAATCAAGCGGATTCGCGGATTTCGAAAACACAGTGGATTGTGGATCAGCTGTAAATTTTGGCGCGGATTCCGGATTGTGCCTGTCTTGATTTCGGATCTTGGGTCCTAAACGAAATTTGGATTATAGATCTTTCTTCAACCTTGGTCGGTAAGTTAATGAGTTTATCCAAATTATTTCTTTTTCGAACGAAGTTCATTTAAACTCAGGTGTGTCGTCTTTTTTATTATCCGTGCGAAATTAACAATGGCATTCACATTTACCAGTTTACCTTTTGAACTTTTATACTTCTGTTTCCGGATTGCTTGTGGTTTCGGATTTGAACAAAAATATTGGCGGATCGACGGATTTGGCGAAAAAAAGGCACGGATCGGCGAATTTGCATACCCCTATTCACCCCCCTACTCGAGTGCATGACCGCAGCTAACCAGAATTGGCTTCCAGTTGCGTAGATTCGAGAAGGGCTACAAATTTGCCAATGTTGAGGCGTAAATTCTTTGTAAACAAAATACCCAAAGCAAAACCAGAGTGAAAAGCGTACCCTTTTCTAGACCAAAATAGACAAAATCTATACCCATTTTTCAGATCAAAACCGTTCAAAAACCGTGCCCTTTGGGGCTGCACATACATATAGCCCATATAAAGGGGTGCCCCTACCCCCTCCCCGGGTTTCAGCCTTAGCAAAGTAATCACAGCACACAATGATTCCCGTTTTATCGCCACCGGAGCTAATTAAAATAAAGAGTGTGTTTGGTTATTGGTTGTTTAATGATTTTTGTGAGGTCCATTGATGTAGACGTGCTGAGAAGCCTCTCGTCATGTTTTCAGTTTCTATGCATTAATTTTCCTTCACGGTTAAAATCAAAACTCCACGGGGATGTTTTCAGGTACATCTGAAAATGGGACTGCACATGTCTATCTTAACTTCATCGCTCAAATTAAGTGGTAGATTTCTAAGTTTGCAAGCCGAAAATAGTTTAGAAATCAGATTTTTAACGACGTGTACATTCCAAACACTGCAGCATTTGTCGAGTTTATGCAGCTCCCATACTTGTCCCCTTGAGATTCGCAGCAAAACAATGGCTTAATTCTCCATTGTATATTAAAATAGAACTGACATAAAAGTGATATACGCAAAAGCTGCTTTCAAACTGAAAGAAATGAATCATTTTCTTCAGATTTAGTTATTTTTTTCGGCTCAAAGACTAATATGTTTTCGACTATATCGACATTTTGAAGCGTTTAACATCATCAGTTGCTTTGATTTGATTTCATTTTGATCAGTCTCACTGATTTGGCACTGATGTATCGATACATCGAAATAGAGCGGTCTATACCAGTGCACGAGAGCAAGTAAATAATGAACTAGCTAATAAAAAACAGCTTACAGAATGCCCGGTGAGTTAATTAACCATTTCCTAAAAGGGTCGGATCAAAATCCAGTTGCTAATAAGTAGGATTGCTATTTCAAATATTAAGCACATTTCAGTTAGCCTCTGGCACAGGACGTTTTAACACGCGGAAGTTTATGAAACAATTAATCACTCATCCCAATTGCCCGGGATTTATCCCTATTTTGTCTATTACTCTATTCAAGCTCGGCGCATTGATTTTTGTCTGATGGCTAAATTCTTACGAAATTTATTTCGCTCAAGTGTTGCAACAATTCGACATTGAGGAGAGAGGTGAAAACAAGAGATCTTGCGAACGGTTTATTTAACTTAACATAGGAATTCTCATTACCGGTTTCCATAAGTTCTGCTGCCACAGTCGTGAGAATTTGATTAATTCATTTAATTAGACGATTTCCGATTGGCGAACTCTTTCGTTTATATTTACGATGCACATTCTTCTTTCAATTTCTTGATACATATTCTGCATGCGTTCTCAGTGCTGGACAAAATATAAACCAAATTTTCCCACGGAAGTTGCGACTATAGCTATTTTGATTGAAATAACATTGGCGTGTCCCAAAGGTGTGACCGAATTCTTTGAGACTTCATGAAAGAAATCACTTGAATTACTTTTGATCTCACTGACATTACGCACCTAGTCATGTGATATAACTGGCGTAAACAACAGAGACTTGAAACTTAACGAGAACTCTTAACTTTTGCTTAGAAGTTAGCTTAGCTCATTGCAGGAAGGAGTAACGAGGGGGCATCAGCCAGCGCCTGCATTAATGATTAAAAGAAAAAAGAAAAAAGCGTGTAAACTTTGAAAACAGAATATAATACCCTTCTATCACGGGTCTTGCTCCGGAAGTCGAAGTTAAATTACCCACGTGGAATATTTTAAAAGCCTCGGCAATCAAATTTTCTAGTATTTAAATGGTCGAAAGCTGAAGAATAGTAAAAAACAGAATGTTTGCCAGCTGTGAAAACGTACTGCTTCAGTCGAAACGGGATTTTCTTTTGCTCTTTGGGTGTAATTGAAACTTTTACCTCAGAAACATCCCGTTCCGCTTTGGTGAATTCGCGGCCTGTCGATTTATTTGCAAATGTTTGGATGTCATGCAAGCTCACAATTTCTTGATGTATACTTTGAGGACCTTTCGAAACAACTTATAATCTTTTCTTTCTTAATTTCTCCTTTCATTATGCTCTATATATGAGATATCTCTCACGCAAGCCTTTTTAATCCCTTTACTTCTGTCCTGCATCGGGCAGATGACACATGAATATATTAGCATATCATAACTATGACGCCGGAAAAAAATGAGAACCTCATCTTGCAAGTTACTTGATGTCTTCGTCTTACTTTCAGACTGATACAGTCAGAGCTTTGATTCCGTAGCTGGATTAAGTTTGTGACTCAAGTAAGTTTTCACAAATTAAAAACGCATAAGGCACCTCATTACAGCCCTATGTGCACGAAGATGCTCATGTACAAACACCTCATACCGAAATGGAAATCTTTCGGTTGCATCTCTCTTCTAGGTTTCGCAAATCCTTTCTTTCGTTTCTTAAACCAGGCCGGTGATTTCCTGTTCAGTTCTTTCGCTTTTTGAGCCATTCACTCATCCAAAAAATGAAATCAATTCAAATTGATTTTCTTGCCAGAAATTTATGTTGATTTTATTAACTTGGACATTACGCCCGACAGAAAGAACAAAATATTTTAATGTACAATTTCTTTCGTTATAGTTTACCTATTTAATTGTTTTATTAAGGAATATTTCCTTGCTTTATTCGAGACAGACGAGTCGTCAACTGCTGTAAATAGAGCGAGCATGTGACATAGTGATTGGCTGAAAAACAAATGACGTCATTTCTTGGAAAGTTGAGGGGACTCCCCGCGCATCATGTGAATTCTAAAAATATAAAACGCTTATTCCCCAGAACTTTGTAGCATTAGAGCTCAAACACTGAAGCGAACGGATCGAAACGCCCTCGGACTTTGAAACGAAGATTATAATACTCTTCTAGGAGTTACTCACGCAGGCTACTGTTTAAGAAATATTTCGCAATGCCCGCGGAGAGACTTCGTCTTCGAGCGTGGATCGAGAAAGAAGCAGACGGCGGCAGGCTACCGGGTCTTGAGTGGGAGGACCGTGACAAAGGCATCTTTAAAGTCTCCTGGAAGCATGCTTCGAGACAGTGCTGGTCGTTTCCTAAGGACGCCTGTGTTTTCGAAGGCTGGGCAATCCACAGTGGACGGTACAGGAAAGGTTACGACCGCCCCGATCCGCGAAGATGGAAAGCGAATTTTCGATGCGCTCTCAACGCCCTTCCGGATATCACTGAACTTCCAAACCAGGGCATTGCCCGGGGCCAAGATGCTTGTAAAGTCTATCAGATAGTCAGGAAATCGGTGAAGAAAGACGGCCACAATAACCGGCATGCTACCTTACTTGTTATTGTAGAGTCTTCAGTAAAGCGAAGCACAGAATCTCCAGGTATCAGACCAAAGCATCCTAAACTCACCAAGCAGCATCTAGAAGGTAATATTTCTAACATTGAAAAACTTAATGAAAGAAGTACATTCTTTCACACTTTGAGCGGCAGCAACAGCCTCGTCTCCCCCATCTTTACCCCTTAAAACTGGTACAGCAGGCCAGCAATGGGTTAGATTAAGCTGATGTGGACCAGCTGTAGCAAAGAATAACTTAGAAAAGGAACAAAAGTCCCAGTCAAAGTCCCAGTAAAATTTAAACGACTCTACATTGAGAATGACTCTTCTCGCAGCCATAGCATTTGTTTCTCTTCCGGATCACGTAACTATTGCGCGTTCTATTCACGAATACTTATGATCAGTGCTATGTAGCAGACCACCAATACAAGTGACAAGAAATTCCCGAGCACTTCACATTTCACAGTTCACGTCAAGAAATATCAAATAGCGATCCTTGCTACATGTATCCCTCAATTCTTAAGCGTCTGTACAAATCAGACCGACTAAAATTTTGTAAGGTAAAATTATATTGCGTTTTTTCACTCGCAGTTAAAGATGGCACACCAGGAAATCACGACCTTGAAGGACTGGCAGGGAAAGTCGTCGCGGAATGGAAGGAGCTTGGGCGACGGTTATTAGAAAATAGTGAAGCAGAGCTGTATGCTATTGATCATCAGAATGAGAAGCTGTCTGAAAAGACTTACAAAATGTTGTTGAAATGGAAAGCAGCTAAAGGCTCAGATGCAACTTTCCATGTCTTACATGACGCCTTGTGCCATGGCTTAGTGAATCGTCGAGATTTAGCAGAAGAATACTGTTTGGTCAAAAATGACTAATTCCCAAATGCGTCACGTACAGAGGTTTCTTTTTTATTCAGTTTCCTTATATTGAAATTGCCCTATTCACTAAAGTTACTAAGAGCTGGCTGATCTGATCATGAGCTGAGAGAATTCAGAAAAAGAAAGTTCAATCGATGGTCTGTTGATACATACATTATACCTGACCGGGCCAGACACTAACGGTAGCCAACTAACCTGCAAGAGACCAGTAACAATTCAAATTCGACTCGTAGCTAGGCCTTACATTTCTATGATCAATATATATCAGCCAAACCGTTTAGCTTAAACTGTTGATTTGTAAAGGTCACTGTACTATTACGTATTCTTTGAATATTGAGTTTTGTTTTCAATTACAACAATTTAATAAAAGGATAGCAGGTCATGA